CTACTGGCTCACCTTTGTGCTTTTTTGCAAACTCTAATCTTGCCTTTCTATTTTTGGTGCTGGTCAGAGGTTTGCATCTTGCTTTGTATCATCTTTAATTCTGTGTCAAAGTCTCCTGTGGACAGTAGATTGTCAGAGCATCACCCCAGCTTTCTGGAGGTTGTTGGTGATTTTATATACACATATTTTAGGGTTCATTTTCACAGCTTTTGTGATTTGTCTGTCATCAACTACTGTTGTTTTTCTCAGCTGATCAGGTCTTTATTGGCTGTTGATGTCTCCGGTGGTCTCCAAACTCTTGATTTCTCCATGCCCTTTGTTTTTGCTAAATCTCTTATTGACTTTCTCTTTTCTTTTAGCATACAAATTGCTTGCTTTTCTCTCAGAGTCAGCTCCCTCGTCCTGAATAAGCTATTTCACATAACAGATGTTTATATATTCTCCACAAGACAAAATAATAACTGAATTTATAAAAATGACCCCATTCAAAAGTTTACATACCCTTGAATCTTAATACTGTGTGTCGTTTCCTGGATGGTCCATGACTGTCTCTCTGTTTTGTGATAGTTATTCATGAGTTCCTTGTTGGTCCTGAGCAGTTCAACTGCCAGCTGTTCTTCAGAAAATTCCTCCAGCTCCTGCACATTCTTTGGTTTTCCAACATTGTATGATTGTGACTGAAACAATGCATTAAGAGCTGGGGGGTAAACTTTTTGAATTGGATGATCATGGTAAATTGTACTTATTTTGTCTTCTGGGAAACATTTAAGTATTTATGTAGCTTCTTAAGTGCAGTACCAAATGAAAAAAAATATGATCTTTAAACAAAATAAGACAAATTTGCCATCATCATCCTGTTCAAAAGTTTACACTCTCTCTCTTTTAATACATTGTGTTGCCTTCTTGAGCATAAGTAAATGTTTCCACCTTTTGTAATAGCTGGGTATGAGTCAAAATCATACAGTCACTGTTGGAAATGGTTCAAATATGCAAAAGATGCTGGAAAACTTTAGGTTACTACCGTAACCCCGGTTCTCTGATAACATGAAATGAGGTATCTCACTATGGGAGATACCTTCCCAGGCGTGACCGATTGTGGAAACACCAATTACACCACGTCTGCCAATCATGGCAGACCAATCGATGCAGCGATCAGGGAGTCCCACCTCCCTTTATATAAACCACAGCTACCTGCTGTCTCGTCATTCTCCGCATATCTCTTCTTTCTGTGGGACAGGCAAGGAGGGCAATATTGTGAGATACCTCACTTCATGTTATCAGAGAACCTTGCGTGCAGTTTACTCACCCTCTTTGCTGTAGTAAGAGCGAGTAACAGAGCCGTCTTTAAAGATATTTCAAGGAGATGCTCGAACGGGGCTTTAGAGAGCGCATTCAGGACCATGTACAAATCCCAGGGCGGGACCAGCGGCTTTGATACTGGGTGTAACCGTCACGCTCCTCTCATAAATCGGCAAACAAGAGGATGCTGACCTATAGTACCAGAGTCAAGT